AGGTATTCTGATGTTTAATTTTCAGTAAAAATTTTTCGGCCAAGAAATGTCTTCTAAGAGAGATTGGAGGCTCAAGTGCATATAAATCAATACTACAATATGCAATATTCAATACAATATGGGGTTCAAATTAAGGGTTGCGCCTTAGATTTCTCACCCCTGTCTTATCTAAAATGTACGACGTTGCAAAAAAAAATTCTATATATATAGCGATTCTAAACTTTGTGTATGAATGCCGTTCTGTTCAAAATATCGAAAATAGAGAAACAATTATCCAAAAATAAAAAATTTTTCATGCTCCTGGTACCAATATATTTTGCCCAAAAAGTCCCCTGTCCCTTGAGTGGTAAGTTTATCGTACCTGTGACTTACATGTAACGATAAGAATTGGCGGAAAAATGTTTCTAAAATTGTTATTACCTATTGTATTGTTTTATATGTAATTATTGCTGGGTGATACGACCCATTAAATATCTCCCAAAGGACAAAATTCCAAATAAAAGAATTATGGGTCCAGAACCATACCTAAAGGAAAATCAGGACAAGATTGTAGTGAAGTGGAGAGAAGAAAAATTTATTAAATAGTTATCTGTCCTGTTTCATGTGCTTATGAAGGTGTGTGTACTGTGTAAACAGGTGACAAGCCAGGAAGAACCTGGTTTATTGGATTTTTAAAAAGAAATTCCAAAATAAGTAATGAATTGCTCAAAATCAACAAAAAAAAGCATTCAAAAATGGTGCAGTGAAGTATACAATTATTTTAGAGCGAACAACTGTGAGGAGGGTCTAAATGACCCAAGTCGAGTATTAATGAAGACGAAACAGTATTCTTCTTTCACCAAAAAGGAAAAATCCTGATGCAAACTAATACCTAACAGTTCTTATAACAGGTAATACCGCTGGTAAACTTGCACCATCAATGATTTAAACATGAGAAAATTCCAAAAAAAATGGTTGAGTAGGCTCTACTGTAGACTAGTGCAAAGTGTCGTACTATTTTCTGTATTTTAAGCCAACTGTAGAGCCAATGTGTTAATACATTTAATTAAGTTATTTCATTACTACAACCAATTAAATTAAGGATACTTTTCGATAATTATATATCAAGGTTTAAATTCCAAAAGTAATTCTGTGTTAAAAACTTAGTTAGCGGAAATATACTGAACATAAGAAACGAGAAAACTTAGTGAAAACCTAATACAAGCCAAAACATCATTTTTAAAGTCCAACGCCAATTAGTTGATGTACAACACGACATGACACTCAACTCAACTATGTCTTAGCGATAATAAAAATACTAATTACTGAAAATATCCTCAACAAATTAAATCGATTAATGCATGCGATATGTAAATTATTGTTTAGATATTTCATAATGTTGTCAATAGAAATACCAAAATATTTCTTAACTATAATGATCAAATCAAACGATGTAACATGAGTAACAGAAGTCTCCAACCAAAACGACCTCACTTGATATGATTTCTAATATATAGATATAATTGGGATATATAATAAAAACAACCGTAGCAAATACAGAATAGTGCTCATAAATCGTAGTAGCAACTGGTATCTCACCATAATAGTATACCATAAATCACACAAATCCTTTATAAAATGGAGAATTATTTAAAAGAAACTTTTCGCCTACATCACAGAATGTTTTCGGAAGCACTATTCCATCATCAGTACTATTACCTGGAATAAGTATTAGCACTTTAATTAAAACAAACGTAAAGGATAAAGCAAATGTGGTTTGATACTTACTCGGTATACATGTTAAAAGTTAGAAGTTCTTAAAGAGTGCAGTATTGACCATAGGTACACAACTCTTCTTCGGAATATATATATATATATATATATATATATATATATATATATATGTATATATAAATATTATATATATATAATATATATATATATATATATATATATATATATATATATATATAATAGCGCAACAGCTGCAGTAAGAATGTAATATTTCGACACAAACACATTTCCCTTGGAGAGTATTAGGCAAAGAAAGACCATCTCTTCCAAATTATTCACCACTTTATTACAGAGTGGTATGAGAGTCAATAATTTGGAAAATAAATAGGGAATTTCTGAACAACTTGAGGTTTGCAGATGACGTAGTCCTTACGGCAGTCAGGAGAAAACCTAGTTTTACGGACACAATTAAAATAATTACAACGCTGAAATGGAACCGAGCAGGACATGTTGCCAAAGTCAGAGATGGAAGATGGGCCAAGAGAATTTTAAAATGGAGACCTAGACACGGTACTTATCGTGGACGAGGACGTCCTCCAACAAGGTGGTCGGACGACATCACGCTCATCCAGTACAACCGGATTTAAGGTGATCAAGATCGGATACAATGGAACTATTTACGGAAAACCTATGTTCAGCAGTGAACTCAGAACAGCTAATGATAATGATAATGATGCAAGTGTGAAGCTACCAAATATACGGGTAAAAACCTTTTTAAATGTTGTTAAATTCGTTTTAAACTACAAATTTGCTGATAATATTATGCTGATGAATTTTAAGTTTTAAACAGGATTCACGTCATGGCAACATAAGACTCTCAAACTGGGGTTGCTGGTCCCAAGGCGCAGTCTCTAGAAGGACCTTTAGGTAGCAACTGATCAAAATGACATGGATCAGATATTATGATGATGTTGGCCAAATTGAAAATTATTCATTAGAATAAATAATGCTACAATTAAAAACTAATACAGACGAACATTTCTATTACAACCAATTATACCTTTATCTCATATAAACAAAACATTTAACTTAACCATATTCAGGACCTCTTTAATGCAGATAAATATGGCCTTGAATTACACGAATAAATATCATAAGATAATATGATCTGAGATTTAAAGTGTAGTAATTAACAACATTGTAATTTCCCATTGTAATGTTCAAGAAAGGAGATAAAGAAGACCCCAACAATTATAGAGGTATATATCTGCTGAACACCGTACTTAAGCTTACCACAAAAGTCTTAACCAACAAAATCAATATACTAACAACTTTATCAGATGAACAACAAGGATTCAGATCCGGAAAATTCTGCGTAGACGCCGTATTTGTACTAAGACAAATCACAGAAAAGTCCATCGAGTGCAATAAACCAGCATATCTATGTTTTATAGACCTGACAAAGGCTTTCGATCGCATCCAAGTCGAAGACGTCTTACACCTACTGTATAAAAGAAACATACCAATCTCTATTATACAAAGCATCGAAAACATCTACCTCCATAATCGAATACAGGCAAAGATAAATGAAAAACTAACACAGTGTATCTGGGGCATATAATGAGAGAAAGCAGATACAGGATGATGCAGTTGATACTCAACGGAAAGATCGACGGAAAAAGAGGTAGGAAGAAATTCTCATGGCTCCGAAACCTTCGTCAATAGACTGGCTTATCCGCAGATGAATTATTACATGCCGCGTAAGATCGAGAACGATATCGGCAAATCGTCATGGAAGCGACCCACGTCTAAAACCTAGGCACGGTACTCAAAGAAGAACACAGTGTATACCAGTACAAAGCGGAGTCAGACAAGGTGACTCGTTAAGCCCACTTATCTTTAATATAATAATGGACGAAATAAGACAAGCAGGACGTAAAGGTCATGGCTATAGAATGGGGAACAAAGAAATCAAAATATTATGTTATGCAGACATCGCCGTGACAGAAGTCGAGCTCTAAAGATTAACACATATCAACAGCTAAGAAATACAATATGATAATATCAGCAGAAAAAAACAAATGTATGACAACATCTAAATACCCACTACAGTGTAAAATCGAAATTGATGGGAAAATAATCAAGCAGGAAGCAAGATTTAGATACCTGGGAATAGATATAACTAGTTGCGGAGATGTTGAAGAAGAAGTACGACAACAAAGCTTAAAAGCGAGTAAAGCGGCAGGAGCTCTTAATGTCACAATCTGGAAAAACAAACACCTAAGATAAGACACAAAAAAAAAGAATCTATAAAGCAGCAATTAGACCTATATCAACACACACGGCGAAGACAAGACTTGACACATTTAAAACGAGACGACTACTAGAAACAACAGAAATGAAAATACTCCGACGAATATCAGCGAAAAGTCTGTTGGATAGGGGAGAACCGAAAACATAAGAAGAGCATGCAATATAGAAGAAATAAATAGATAGGTGACAAAACGAAAACAGGAGTGGAACGAACACATCAGTCACCAAATCACCAAATGGACGAATAAGTATTGGCAGACCAAGAAAAAGATGGTGCGACAATTTAGACAATTTAGGAGGCTAATATTGTAGAAGAAACAGGCTTTAAAGCCTACATACAAGAAGGAAGAAGAAGAAGAAGAGGAAGTAATTTGCCATCATTAATCAGTATGTTAATGATCATGTACTAGTTGATAAAATTTTAACAAACCACAAATTTATGATATGTCCAAATAAAAAAATTATTTTTCCTACAAATCCGTTGTATTTGCATAGCGCTTGAAACATTTTAAATCAAAAAATTAATGTGGCAAAAGGACTAGTTTCCATGCCAAACACACTATCAAAAAATTAATTTTTGATATGTATTTACGAAATAATTACTGTATAATCAAACAAGGAAGAAAAACAAGAAAAAATATATTTATCTTATCGAATGGCCTTCCCATTATGATAGATTTATGTTACCAAATAAAATAATTTAAAATTATTAAGAAACTATCTATTTTATAAATTTGAATTGCATAAACTGTACTTTATTAAGTACAAGAAGAAGTGCAAGTTTAAATAAAAAATACTATCAAGATATGAATTTTTAACAAAAAAATATTCTCTATTTGTTTCTTTCAGGTTTTGTTTACATGTTGCATTGTTTTGGTGGAATAAATTGGGCCATCAACAGGAAACAAAACAATCCGAACATATATTTTCTAACTTAATAAATGAAGTTTGGAAATAATTGGGTAAAAGTATACCTTTAAAGCACGTACAGCCCATGATGTAGCCCATCATGGATCCGGACGGGACTATCCCGTCTACTACCAACGTGGGGCCCTCGGATACTTCGGCCCCATCGAGAGGGCCCCAAGTACGCCCCTGGAGGCCACCTAGCTATCACTACAGCATCCTGATCGCTAACCGAGCGTTCGACATTTTTATGTTTTTGTCTTTTTTCAGGTTTCGCGCTCCTGTGAACGACAGGTCCACGGCGTTGTTGCAGGAACAGAAAGAAGCAGCAGGAAAATCGACCGGCAACCGATGTCGGGAAACAGGCGTCGAAACGGCGACACGACGCCGATTCTGCAGGAAATCTCCGCGCGAGCAGCAGGATCGAGACTGCAGGAGTTACGGCTGCCGCGGAACGTCGAAGGTTAGGAATACAGTGACCTCGTGTGGCGAAAAGAGGAAGTTGGCCAATGTATTTACTATATTATATTGGCGCGAAATACGGTAAACGATACTCTAGACCCAGTTATTGTATTTTTTCTTGATATTAAAATGTGTTTACGTTTAAAAAAAACAAAAATTGTGTCAGCAAACGAGCCGGCTTAAAATCAATATATTAAATCTTGCTTCTATGTGAAAGAAAATGCAACAGAAATTAGATTTGTTATTTCTTTGTACAAAAAATTATGAGTAATATAGGTTAATATATTTTTTATTTATTTGATAAAACTCCAACAGAAATCTTATTTTAATACATTATAGTACTACTAGCTAACGTGTACACTTTAGCCGCATTTTGCTCTGCTTTTTCACTTTCACTCACTTATAGCACTAACTCAAACGGCTTGGTTCTCTTAAGTCTTTTTATCTGGTTGGCGTTGTCTAGGAGTTTGATGGCCTCGATATTCACGTGGTTGGAGAGAGCCTTTGTTTTTGTTATTTCATTACCTAACTTTATCACCCATTTCTCGCTAACGCGAATTCTTCTCATTGCTTCCCATAGTTGTTTCCTGAGCACGCTATCGTATGCTTTCTCTAAGTTGATAAAGGTCATATGTGTCAACATGTGTTCTTTTCAATCACCTGTCTCATAATGAATATATTATCTAAACATGATCTGGCTTTTCGGAATCCGGCTTCTTCTTCGCTATAATGGTCCACGTGTTGTTCTAGTTTTTCTTTTATAACTGATGAAAAGATCCTTGCTATTGAAGGCATTACACTGATCCCTCTGTAGTTATTTAGTGACCTTTTGTCACCTTTTTTGAAAATGGAGGACATGTATGATAAATTCCACTCATCGGGAATCTTCTCTCCTGCTTCGATTTTATTGAACAACATTCGTATAAAGGATACTATCCTTGCGCCTCCATATTTCAGCAGTTCTATTTTTATGTTCCCTGGTCCTGATGCTTTATTGTTTTTGGATTTCTGTAGTGCTTTATTTATATATTCCTCTGTGATTTCTGCTTCCTCAGTTATTATTGTCACAGGGTCGTATGAGATATACTCCGGCCTATTCTCCTGCAATAATTGTGTGTAATGCTTTGTCCACTCTTTTGATGTAATTATCTGTGTGGAATTTTTACTTCGTTTATTACTTCTAATGTTTTTTATTTTTTTCCATGCTTCCGCTGATCTGTTATACCCTATCGTGTTGTCTATGTCTCTGCACATTCTCTCCCAGTATTCGTTTTTCTCGAGCTTTATACTTTGTTTAACTTGTCTGAGGGTAACATATTCTCCCCGTGTTCCTGGGGTTCTGTCGTTTAGCCATTTATGAAATGCACTTTTTTTTCTTTTAATAATCTCTTCCAAGTCGTCACTGTATTTCTCCAAATATGTATTTTTATGTTGTTCAATACCCAGCACTTCGTTTGCCGCTTTGTTTATTTGTTCCTTTAGGTGTTGATACATTTCTGTTGGGGTCCATTCTTCGTTCATCTGTATCATACTCTGTAGCCCATTCTGATATAGTATTCGAGTACTAAATTGTTGTAGAAGTTCTACTTTATACCTCGTATTTGCGATTTTTTGCATCTCTTCATCTTTCTGGATATTGTCTTTTTGTAGTCTTCCCGTGTATATGAATTTTCCTAGCACTAATCGATGGTTACTTGCACATTCTGCTTGTCTGTATACTCTTACATCTTGTATTATTGTTTTGTTGGCTTTTCTTACTATTATTAAATCAATAATTAGTATTTGGTTTCTACTAGGTTCTTCCCATGTGTATCTATGTATGTTTTTATGCTGGAATCTTGTGTTGGTTATGGCTAAATCGTATTCTCGACATATTTCAATTAGCCGACTTCCATTGTCGTTTCTAATTTCGTCTTCTCCGAATCGTCCCACTATATATTCATTATCCTTTCCTATGTGACTGTTAAAATTTCCAATTAGTAGAATATCTTCTTTTTCCTTTGTCCTGTCTAAGACATCTTTTAGTGCGTTGAAAAAATCTTCCTTTTCCCTTATGGTCGCATTGTCATTCATTGCATATACTCCAACAATTATTGTTGGTTGTCCAAATATGTTCATCCTAATTTCCATTATTCGTTCATTTATTTGCTTTTAATCTTGGTAAAAGGTATTTTATCCAATTATTTTTTATTAATATTGATACTCCTTTTGCGGCTCTTGTTTGCAAACTCCACTCTATATGTGTATATATTTCCGATAATTTCCTCTCCTTGACCTTTTTTTTCCCTTAAGACTATTATATCTGTAAATCAATATAAGGTTGAATGTTCGAATAATTAAACTTTGAGGGTATACAAGGCAACTATCGAACACCGTGATTAATTTAATCTTGCCCAAGTACTTTCAATCAATAGATCATCTTCAGGGGCATTTCGTCAATTGTGGACTATCCGACACAGTAGAATGTCATAAATGTAAAAACTGGACATAACAATACAAAATACACTACACTAAGACAAACAAACACTTTAAAATTTATATGGCGAAGCTACATATAAGGGGCTACATAGGGCTTCTTCACAATATGTAGCTTCGCCATATAAATTTTAAAGTGTTTGTTTGTCTTAGTGTAGTGTATTTTGTATTGTTATGTCCAGTTTTTACATTTATGACATTCTACTGTGTCGGATAGTCCACAATTGACGAAATGCCCCTGAAGATGATCTATTGATTGAAAGTACTTGGGCAAGATTAAATTAATCACGGTGTTCGATAGTTGCCTTGTATACCCTCAAAGTTTTATTATATCTGTGCCTAGTCTTTCGATTTCTGGGATTATTTCATTTTGTTTAGATGCGATTCCTTGTATATTCCACGTTCCTATTCTTGTAGTCTTTTTTCTTCGCCTAAGTCGTTCATCCTTGTTTTCGTCCAAAATCCGATTCTGTGTTGGATTGGTTTTTGCATAATGACTTTTTACGAGTGTCGGGTAGCAGGCCCGGCGCCTCAACCCCCTATTCTTCGGAGGACCATCTTCCTATTCGTTAATCAAAACTCATTTCCATATTCAATCTAGGGTCGTTATCGGTAAATCCATCCAGGGTACTGGGAGAGAAAAGGTAGGTTTGGATATGGACTGAGGGTAGGACAATGGTTTCCCCTGTATGCTATTAGCAGATAAACCATGTCTATGTTGACAGAAAAGCTAATTCCATGATATAAGGCAAAAATTATTATAAGCTTCATTTTATGGTTTACAACATTCTCTTGGGTTTATTGACCATATCGAATTAATTAACGATATTCACGGTTTATTGGCCGTATCAAAATTTATTGGCCATTTGAGGACCTAACCACAGGACTTAACTAAACTTAATCAGGAGGCTACATCCACATGTTACAGCTGAAGCTCTCCGGAGGACATAACATCTAAATGGGAAGACAAACAAGCAGCCCATCGATGCCATAAGTCTCCCTGGCAAGGAAGCCCACACCTTGAAGAGGCGCCCTGCCTAAACGAGATATAAATAACGTTGTTCATTCTATTGGCATTTAAGAATCATCAGTTTGTCGGCATCTGTAGCTCATTTTTGGATATAGTAATGCCAAAGAAACTTAACGGCACAGATACAGTGATAGACCAGTAAGTGACAATCGCATTCGTATTTGCACCTACTCTATTTATTTAAAATAACAATATGCTAAGAGTTAGACGCTGCAGTGAAGTCAAACAGCCACAAATTGTAATTATAAATTAAGAAGGATATAAATAAAAAAAAAAGAATAACTGCACGACGTTTCAAACGAAATCAATCGACAGAATCCAAAGTTTTTGGACACTGTAGATCGATTTCGAACTACATGTTCGATGTCGACTGAAATCGTTATTGGTAGGCAAGCATCTCAACAATGAACTGCTAAATATAAGACAAAATAATACTATTTGAGAAGTAAATATAGTTATTTTAATCAAAACGTTCAAATTTTATCACAAATAAGACATAAGACAAATCTTGGAACAAGAGTTGGATTAGTTAGAATATTTTTTCAATCAGAAACTCTAAAAATTTTATAATATCCGATACTCTTCTCCATTACAGTAAATTTTCAAATGTTTTATTCTTCAACTGAACGAACTGTATCTTTCCTAATGTTTCTTAGTTACCGTGTTAAGTTGCAGATATGTTATCTCCCATTGTCATGTTGTTTTTATACTTGGCACTACAAAAGCCACACCAATTAGGCACTGAACGACGTAAAGTAATATAGAAAACGATGTGCAAAAGGATAGAATTTATCCTCCTGGCAGGATTAATTTAGTCGAAAGCAGAGTGCAGACGCTGTTTATTTTGGGAGAGAAAGCTTGGCAAACACTTGCCTGTTCCTAGACTCTACTTTCTAATTATTTTCGTTTTTTGTTGGTCGAGTTTCTCGAGACTTTTGCTGGAGTGTTATGGTGCATTATGAATCTTGGATGTCAGTTCCGTAAATATTTAACTGTTAGCAAATACTAGTACAACTGTAGGAGATGATTCGATTTATATCATTTTACACAAACATTTTTTCACAAAAAAAGATCATATTAAACACAAACTTGGATGGTTAATGCATTCCTAAACATATGTTAAATGTGTATGAGTTAAGGGCTATTCTGGTATTTCCGGAAAAAAGAACTATATAGATTCATATTCCGAAACAAATCTGAGTAAAATATGAGTCCGAAGAACATTAGAAGCCCTGTTAGCTTGGAAAATCTAATAACTATTTGAAACAACTACAAAAATTAAGTAAAAAACATAAAAATACTCTCAAAAAAGCACGCCTTAGAAAATTACAAATCTAAGAATCTTTAACATTCCTATATTAATTTAATTTAGAAAGATACATTGGAACCATCGATAAATCTGGATCTTTTGACTCTACCAAGAGTAAGATTAACCAAGAACAGTCGGTATCTAG